CCCGGATTCAGTGGCTTAAATTCACGCCAGGCACATGTGTGTGCATGCCCAAGATCCCGAGAGGAGAATGGAGGAAAAGGGATTCTGGTGTGGCCATTCCCCTGGGGGGTGATTTCTCGCTTTCTGTCTCTCTCTGTCTTTCTGGCGAGTACACCTGACCTATACCAAAAACCTCTCCAAATAAATAAATAAGTAATTTACATTCATTCCCTGAGCATCATTACAGCATACAAAATGTGACTTTCCATCCAGAATATACTGCATAGTGGCTTAATCATGCATGTTATCATCAATAATTTTTCATTTCTATTTTGATATTTATTACTCCTATTTCTGATGCTCTGCCATTTCCCACCATATCTCCAGTGTCTATAATTATTTTCCATTCCTTTCTCCCCCATATTTTATTGATCACAAAATTTCTTAAATAATCTAACTACTTTCAAATTAGCTGAACTAGCAAGTTCAGCTGGTAATTTCTTTTTTTAAAAAATTTTATTTATTGGGAACCAGCAGTTAGCGTAATGGCTATGTCGCTGGACTCCCATGTAGTCGACCGTGGTTCGCGTCCCGGACCCGATGGCTTAAAACTCACGCCAGGCGCGTGTGCGTGCGTGCCCAGGATCCCGGGAGGAGAATGGAGGAGAAGGGATTGCGGCGTGACCATCCCCCCGGGGGGTGATTTCTCGCTTTCTGTCTCTATGTCTCTGTCTGTCTGGCAAGCGCACACGCCCTATAGTGAAAATCTCTCCCCCCCCCCAAAAAAAATTATTTATTGTCATTATTTAATTAATTAAATGATTGATTTTGAAGTTGACCAGAGAGAGACAGAGAGAGAGAAGGAAAGTGAGAAAGCAAGCTGCCAGGTCCAGGATTTGAACTGTGGTCAGCCATGTTGGAGTCCAGCTGCCTTAACCACGTTAACTTCCTGGCCCTATCAGCAAATTTCAACAAAAGCAGTTTTAACTTTAATAAATCAAAGAAATGCTAGGGAACTTTGCTTAACACTTAAAGCCAGGAAACAGGTTAGGATTCTGTTCAAATACTAGATACATGAACCTATTGACAACTCAAGACAGGACAAAAATCCTTAAAACTAGGAAACAAAGCATAGAAGAATATCAGCAATGTTTTAGTCAAAAGTCATAAAATGCCATTTCACCAGTTCAGTCTCATGTACTTAATATATCTTCTGTTGTGGTTCGATGATTTTGACTTCCTGTATTATAGCCTTCATCTCTAATAGGTCCATTTGATTCTTTTCTAAAGTGTGAATTTCCTCTTTTAGATCTTGCAAGAATTTCCTCACCTCCTGGAACTCATCAGCCCATTTATCCTGCCTCTTCCACAGTTCATTGTCTCTCTTCTCTTTCATCTCTGTTAGTTTCGTCATTATGAATATTCTAAATTCTTTATCAGACATTTCCATGATTTCTATTGAACTGTCTGTGAATGAAAAGGAGTTATTCTTTTCCCTTGGAGGAGAGGTATTCTCTTGGTTTCCCATATTTCTTGTGACCCCTGCAGTGATTTCTAGTCATCTGATGGATGATATGTTTTTTCCTAATTGAAGTTCAATCTGAGTGTTCAGAAGGAGATGATCTGGAATCTCTTTGCCGTTTCATTTTTAATCCCTTTGTGTAGCAGATTCAGTGGATATTGAAGAATATGTTAACCCTAATAGTATTTGGGTGTTTGACTATGGTTCCCTTAGATCTGTCTAGAAACACAGACAATGGAAATTGAGGAGTAGAGTGATGAGATAAAAGAAAAAGAAAAGGAAACAGAGAGAGAGGAAAAATAAGAGAGAGAGAGAGAGAGAGAGAGAAAGAGAGAGAGAGAGAGGAAAAAAAAGGAAAGAAAACCAAAAAATTTTATTTATTTTTTAAAAAGGCAAAAAGTAAAAATCACTAGTCTGCTGTTAGCCTGATAGGATATCCTTTGTAGGTAACTTGATGTTTCTCTCTTTCCTATCTTAATATCTTTGTCTGTGGTTTTGGTCAATCTGGCTATAATGTGTCTTGGAGAAGCTCTTCTTCGGTTGATTCTATTTGGGGTCCTTTGTAGTTCTTGGAACTGGATCTTTGAATACCTCTCTAGGTTTGGAAAGTTTTCTTCCAGGATTTCATAGGATAGATTATCATCAATGCCCTTATGAGTCTCTACCTTCTGGGATACCAGTTATCCAGATATCCAGATGTTTGGACGTTTGATGGTATCTAGTGTTTTTTTGTATATTATTTTCATGTTTTGGGGCAATTTTTTCAGTCTTCATGGTGGATTTTTCTAGACTAGTAATTCCATCTTCTACATCTGAGATTTGATTTTTCTGTATGATCTAGTCTGCTTTTAATACTTTCAAGGGAAGTTTTTGATGGGCCAGAGTGACACCATTTCTTTTGGGCCAACTCCATTTTGTTAAACCCACCTTGCTGAGAATCGGTGCCATTTCAAGGAAGCGAACTGATCATGTAGGAGAAGGAATTAAGACCATCACCCCACTGGGGCTGGCCAATGATAAAAAAAAAAAAAAAAAAAAAAAGTTAATACCAGAGACCTGAAGTAACTCTCTTGCCACTCAATAAAAGACAGCTATGCTTCTTGAAATCTCCAGCCATTGTACAGCTGCCTGAGTGCATTCCTCAGCACCCTTTTACCCCCACCCCCAACAGCCAAATAAAAACCTAGCCCAACTGAAATGCAGGGCTCTCAACTCTGACCTGCTGTGTCAGAATGGGAGTCCTGGCTCGAGCTCGAATAAAAGCTAACCTTTTGTGCTTGCATTGGAATTGGCTTTTTGGTGGTCTTTTGAGAATTTTGCAACCAGGGCACAACATTTTGACTTCTTGTATTATAGCCTTCATCTCTAACAGATCCATTTGATTCTTTTTTATAGTGTGTATTTCCTTTTTTTAGATCATGCAAGAATTTTTTTACCTCCTAGAACTCATCAGTTCCTTTCTCTTGCCTCCTCTGCAGTTCATTGTTTCTCTACTCTTGCATCTGTGTTAGCTTTGTCACTATGAATACTCTAAATTCTTTATCTGACATTTTCATGAGTTCCATTTTACTGTCTGAGGATGTAGAGGAGTTATTCTTTTCCCTTGGAGGAGGTATATTTTCTTGGTTTCCTATATTTCTTGCAACCTTAGTGTGATTTCTAGTCATCTGATGGATGGTACCTTTATTCCTAATTCTTTAAGTTCAATCTGAGCATTCAGAGGCATGCATGAGGAGGTGATCTGCAATCTGTCTTCTGTTCCATTTTCACTCTTTGTGCATTAGATTCAGTGGGGATAGAGGAATATTCTGACCCTAATCATATTCAGATGTTTGAATCCTGTTCACTTGAACCTGTCTAGACACTTAGTGCGTAGAGGTTGAGCAGCCAATGAATAAAGATAAAGAAAAAAAAAAAGAATTAGAGAAGAGAAAAGAAAAGATAAAATAAAAAAGGAGAAATAAAAAAGATAATAAATGACTTTTTAATTTTAAAAAGCCAAAAATGAAAACTGTGCAGCACGTGCTTTTCAGAGGATACAGAGGTAGTCCTACCCACTAGAAATGAATCTGGAGGGAGAAGTCTCAGCAGAAAATCTTCATTTTTAGTCAAAGAAAGCAGTATTGCACAGCTCAAGTTCGGTATTCATGTCAAGATGGGCCTGGGGTTGTGACTTTCCAAAATGGAATAGGGAAAGGTGAAGCAGGTGAAACTCCAAGAGAAGTGGGGAATGAATCAGGTGTGACTCCATCTTGGAGGAGCGTCTCCATTATAAACTGTTAGATTCCTGTGACCAGAAATTTGCCTTCTCCTTTGTGCCTAAGAGCAAAAAGAGTAAATTAACACTCCTCTTGTCTTTAAACCCCATCTTTCTGTCTCTCTCTTTCTGGTGGACATACCCTATAGCAGAAACTTCTCCAAAAAAATAAAAAAGGTTAGGTCCAGTCACCGGGCCTTGCGTGGAGCCATAAATACTATTAAGATTCCATTGTATTTAGGTATAAATAGGACATATCCTTAGGGAAGATTAACCCTCTTTTTGCTGCTAACGTGTTGTGCTTTTGCTTGCTCTGCTTTTACTGTTGTAAAACCCTACCCCTTACTCTTTTCTCCCATTCAAGCCCACTGCACCTTACCCTCATGAATCATCAGTCATCTGGACATGATTGTGTATTGTTTTGCCTTTATAAGCACCCCTCACCTTGCACTTGGGGCTGCCGGGTTTTGAGAGACATGAGTCTCCCGTATGCCACTGGCTTAATCAATAAACTCCAATAAATTTGGCTATGTCTGGATTGTCCTCTTATTTCTTGTTGAGTAGATTATAATATTGGCACAAATTAGCACAGTAAAGGAGGGACTTGAGAGCCCAGGGAATACTTTACCTTAAAAAAAAAAATTAAAAGTCACAGAGAGAGATGGGGAGAGACAGAGGGAAATGGAGAGGAGACAGAGGTAGCCCTACTCACTATAAATTAATCTGGATGGAGAAGTCTTAGCAGAAAATCTTTATGTTTAGTCAAGGAAAGCACTATTTCATAGCTCAAGTTTGATATCTATCCAGTCTGTGTTCTTTTAGTCTTCTGTGTTTAAGAAGGTTAGGCAGAATCCTGGGGCCTCAAAGAAGGCTCTATTTGGATGGTGTGGCCCCTTGTTCTCCCTAAAAAGTTTCGCTGAGGGAGGACAAGTTTTAGTAATCCAATGTCAGTACCAGATCCACACTACCAAATGGGGACCTGCCCAGAAATCCTCCTGCCAAAGTGTCTGGGCTTTTTCAACAAATCCATCATTACTCAGCTGGATTTCTAAAGGGCATGGATTTCTTCAGATTCCCTGTATCCTACTCCAGTTCTTGTGTGTGTGTGCAGAATAGGGACAAATCTAGTGGTGAGGATTTGGTTGAGAGAATGAATAGAAGAGGAAAAATTGCTCACATTAACAAATCATTTTGAGAGTTCTGTAGCACATCCAGCTTCATGGTTTCTTTTTCTTTTTCTAGCCAAAAGTAGTCTGGACTCCGCAGTTCTCCTTCAGAGAAATATTGAAAAGGATTGACCAGTTTTGCAGTTCTAAAACGATGGCCCATGTAAGTTAATGTTTCTCTCTCTTTTTTTTTTAATACGTTGGTTGGTTTCTTTCTTTCTTGTTTTGTTGTTGTTTTTCCATTTAAGCCAGAGGGCTACGTGCTCACCAGTGACAAAGAGGAGAAAGAGAAAGCACTCCCTAGTGTGCCATAGTCACATTGCAATCCTTTTACCGCCATTTCTCCATCCTGTCAGAATTTGGGGCACACATACACATGTGCCCAGTGTGTTTTTCAAGTTGCCAAAGCCAGGATTCAAACCACATGATCAAGAATGTGGAATATCACTCCCTTAACCACTAGGCCACAGGACCAGCTTGAAATACTGTCAGTTTATAGATCATGTTTTTATTATTTCCTGAAACTAGTTAACAAAAATGAGAGCCTGCTCCTCTTCTCATTTCTGTGAGTACTGGGGACAGATAGTGCCTCTGTTCTGTGTATTTGCTTTTCCCTTCTTCCACTAATGTTGAGACTCTCTTATCTACAAAATCTTCTGTCAAGAGCCATGAAAAAGCAAGTAGAATGCCTTGAGAAAAATACAGGCATTCTCGAGAAGAAGATCCCTCATGGCTCCTGCGAACTAGATATTTCAGGGTACAAGAGAAATGAAGATTTTCTATTGATAATTCAGCCTCCAATAAACAAGCTAGCATGGCAGGAGAGGCGAGGCCTTCAGAAGATCCCTCATGGCTCCTGCGAAATAGAGCGATCACAACAGAAAGGCAAAGAGATTCCAGACCACTTCTTTTTGCTTGCTCCTGAACATTCAGATTGAAATTCAAGAATTAGAAAGAAATACACCATCCATCAGATGACTAGAAATCACTGCAGGATCACAAGAAATATGGGAAAGCAAGAAAATACCTCTCCTCCAAGGGAAAAGAATAACTCCTCTTCATCCACTAGCAGTTCAATGGAAATCATGGAAAAGTCTGATAAAGAATTTTGAAAATTGGGACCAACTGTTAGCATAATGGCTATGTCGCTGGACTCCCACGTAGTCGACCATGATTCAAGTCCCGGACCCGGCGGCTTAAACTCACGCCGGGCACGTGTGCGTGCATGCCCAAGATCCCGAGAGGAGAATGGAGGAGAAGAGATTGCGGCGTGGCCATCCCCCCTGGGGGGTGATTTCTTGCTTTCTATCTCTCTGTCTCTCTCTGCCTTTCTGGCGAGCGCACGCGCCCTATAGCAAAAACCTCTCCAAAAAAACATTTTTTTTTGAAAATTTATAATTGCGAAGCTAACAGAGATGGAAGAGAAGAGAGACAATGAACTGTGGAAGAGGCAGGAGAAATGGGCCGATGAGTTCCAGGAGTTGAGGAAATTCTTGCAAGATCTAAAAGAGGAATTATGCACTTTAAAAAAGAATCAAACGGAACTGTTAGAGATGAAGTCTATAATACAGGAAGTCATAATCTCCCTTGAAAGTATTAAAAGCAGACTAGATCATACAAAAAATAGAATCTCAGACATAGAAGAGAAAATTGCTGGCCTAGAAAAATCCACCACGAAGACTGAGAAAATGGAGAAGAAGCTGGGCCTTCACAAGAAGGTTCCACATGGCTCCAGCAAACTAGATTTTCAAGGGAATGAAGATTTTTCTACCAGTAATTCAGCCTCCAACAAACGAGCTAGCG